TTTATTTTCTTTGTATATAAATTTCACCCTATAACAATCAGTGGAACAGATTAGAGAGCCCAGAAATAAGGCTGCACATCTACAACCATCTGATCTTTGACAAAAGCGAACAATGAAGATTCCCTATGCAATAAATGGTGCTGAGATAACTGACTAGCCATATGCAGAAGGTTGAAACTAGACCCTTACCATACACCATATACAAAAATCAACGCAAGATGAATTAAAGGCTTAAATGTAAAACCCAAAACTATAAAAATATTGGGAGATAACCTACGCAATACCATTCTGCACATAGAAACTGGCCAAGATTTTATGATGACACCAAAAGCAATTGCAACAAAAACAAAAATTGGCAAATGGGATGTAATTAAACTTAAGAGCTTCTGCACAGAAATAGAAACTATTAACAGAGTAATATTTAATTATTATTTTTAAATATTAAAAACTATTCACAGAGTAATAACTATTAACAAACTACAGAATGGGAGAAAATATTTGCCAACCATGCTTCTGACAAAAGTCTAATATCCAGAATCTTAAGGAAGTTAAACATTTTAAAGCAAAAAACAACCCCATTAAAAAATGGGCAAAGAATATGAACAGACACTTTTAAAAAGAAGACATACATGCAGGCAACAAGCATTTGAAAAAGTGTTCAACATCACTAATCATTAGAGAAATGCAAATTAAAATCACAGTGAGATATTATATCATCTCATGCCTGTCAAATGGCTATTATTAAAAAATACCAGAGACTAGCAAGGTTGGGTGAGAAGGGAACGCTTATACCCTGCTGGTGGGAGTGTAAATTAGTGCAGCCATTATAGAAGGCAGTATAATGATTCCTCAAAGAACTAAAAACAGAATTATCATTCAGCCCAGCAATCTCATTATTGGATACATACCCAAAGAAATATAAATCACTCTGCCATAAAGACACATACATGCATATGTTCATTGCAGCAGTATTTACAATAGCAAAGACATGAAATTAACCTAAATGCCCATCAACGGTAGACTAGATAAAGGAAGTGTGGCACATATACACCTTGGAATACTGCGCAGCCATAAAAAGACAAGATCATGTCCTTTGCAGCAACATGGATACAGCTGGAGACCATTATCCTTAGCAAACTAACAAAGATCAGAAAACCAAATACCACTTTTGTTCTCAATAAGCGGGAGCTAAATAACAAGAACTCACGGACACAATAAGTAGAACAACACACACTGGTACCTACTTGGAAGTAGAGGGTGGGAGGAGGGAGAGGATGAGACAAAAATACCTATTGGGTTCTATGCTTATTACCTGGGTGAGTAATCTGTACACCAAACCCCTGTGACATGAGTTTACCTATATAAGAAACCTGCATCTAACCTAAAATAAAAATCGAAAAGGAAATAAGTACATTTTACCCTATAACAAATACAAGCATTTTTTAAGTTAACAGATATTATGAAGTAAAATGCAAGTTTTTCATTTATAAGACAACATCAGAGAAAAAGCTAAGTCAATCTTATATAAAATGTGATTAAAATGTGATTGTTATTAGATAAGAGGGTTATAGGAAGGTTAGTTTCTTATGGACAAGTAGGAAAACAGGAATCATGCCAAGCTGATCATCACATTAGATATTCAACAAAGGTAGCGTCCTTCCTTGCTTTCATCAGTAGAGTGAGGGCATCTGGATGGCATTATTAGTACAAATTTTTAAAATGTATTCCTTATTTTGAAAATGGTCCTGATAATAGTTTTAATTTTCACTCATGAACTCTACATGTGTAAGTAGAGTTTCTCGAGCCCTTACCAGCATATAGGAAAAAAAGTATAAGGCCATCAACAGTGATAGTGTGGAATTTATTAACGTTGACTCTACTGATGAGAGTATTCAACTTCCCTAAAATTCACAATCAGTTATTTTCAGCTCTAAACATCTTCCTTTGTTCTTTGGCTTATTTCTTCCACCATTTTGTTTGGGGTGTGTATGTGTCTGTGTCTTTGTCTGTGTGTGTGTGGGGGAGGGGGGTGTGCACGCATTTGTATGTTTCCTACAAAGAAATTGAGAATGGCCAGGCGTGGTGGCTCACGCCTGTAATCCAAGCACTTTGTAGGCCAAGGCGGGCGAATCACCTGAGGTCAGGAGTTCAAGACCAGCCTGACCAACATGGTGAAACCCCCGTCTTTAAAAAAAAAAAAAAAAAAAAAAAAGAAAGAAAGAAATTGAGAATATGCATGCAACAAAATTTGACAAAGTTTTTTTTGTTTTGTTTTGTTTTTTGTTTGGTTTTTTTTTTTTCTGGCTTGTCCTTTTTATGTCTTATTTAAGAACAACCCCATCAATAAGTGGGTGAAGGATATGAACAGCCACTTCTGAAAAGAAGACATTTATGCAGCCAACAAACATGAGAAAAAGCTCATCATCACTGGTCATTAGAGAAATACAAATCAAAACCACAATGAGATAACAGCTCATGCCAGTTAGAATGGCGATCATTAAAAAGTCAGGAAACAACAGATGCTGGAGGGGATGTGGAGAAATAGGAATGCTTTTACACCTTTGGTGGGAATGTAAACTAGTTCAATCCTTGTGGAGCACAGTGGGCGATTCCTCAAGGATCCAGAACCAGAAATCCCATTTGACCCAGCAATCCCATTTCTGGGTATATACTCAAAGGATTATAAACCATTCTCCTATAAAGATACATGCACATGTATATTTATTGCAGCACTATTCACCATAGCAAAGACTTGGAACCAACCCAAATGCCCATCAACGATAGACTGGATAAAGAAAATGTGGCACATGTATACCATGGAATACTATGCAGCCATAAAAAAGAATGAGTTCATGTACTGCAGGGACATGGATGGAGCTGGAAACCATCACTCTCAGCAAACTGACACAAGAACAGAAAACCAAACACCACATGTTCTCACTCATAAGTGGGAGCTGAACAATGAGAACACAGGGACACAAGGAGGGCAACATCACACACTGGGGTCTGTCAGGGGGTGGGGGGCTAGTGGAGGGAGAGCATTAGGAGAAATACCTAATGTAGATGACGGGTTGATGGCGTACAGCAAACCATCATGGCACATGATAGTTATACATGTTACATGTATAACTATGTAACAAACCTGCACGTAAAGTATAAGAACAAAATTAAAAAAACCTCCTTCTACTTCAACGTATGGAGAAATTCTGTGTTTTATTCAATACCATTACTAGTCTATATAGATAATTAATCCAGCCAGATATATATTTTGTGTATGATGTAAGATAAAGGCTCAGGATATCATCCCCCATATATTGTCATTTGCCTGAACTCTTTTTATAGTTGTCCTTGTGATTTTTAATGCCACTTTCATTATATACCATGTTTTAATTTACATGTAGTTCTATTTCCACACTCTATTAGTTGATTTTTCTCAGTGCCACTACCATACTGATTTAATTATTATACGTGTGTAGTACATATTGATATCTAGTAGTAGGGATAGTACATCCCAAAAAACATATTTAACTTATTTTGCACGTTTTTGTCTTTATTTTTTTCATTTAGGTTTTGGGATTATCCTGATAACTTCTATGAAAATCCCTTTGAGATTTTGCATGGGAGTTTATAGATTAATTTGACAATATTGCTCTCTTCATTTTATCAAATCTTCCCATTTAAAATATCACATATACCCACTTAATTAGGTCTTTTAAATCTCTTGATAAAGTTTTGTAAGCTTCCCTTTAAAACTCTTAAATATATTGTATTAGATGTTCTATGTGCTTTGTAGTTTTCTTGCTATTGGAAATTACTTTTTTATGTAATATTTTTCTCTCTTGGAGTGGTGCTAGAATAAAGGAACGTATTTCTGCGTATTAATCTTATAGTTAGAAACATTGTTGAATCATTATTTATAACGTTTTATTATTTTGGATACTATACATAAACAATCATATTACTACAACGTGATTCTGGCAAGAAGATATAAAAATAGATCAATGGCAGAACAAAGAATCCAGAAATAGACCCACTCATATTTGGACAACTGATTTTTACAAAGATCCAAAAAAAAAAAAGGCTTTAAAGAAAGAACAGTCTTTTTAACATATGGTTCTGGGAAAATTTATATTCATATAAAAAATAAATGAACTTTGAATCATCCCTCACTACATATACAAAATAACTCAAAACAGTACACACACCCAAATGTAAAATATCAAACCATAAAATTTTTAGAGAACGTAAAATCTTCTAATCTTGACATTGGAAAAGATTTCTTAAATATGACACTGAAAGCACAATCCATGAAAGAAAAAATTGGTTAATTGCACTTGATCAGGTATATGTGTATGCCAAAATTTATCGAAGTGTGTACTTCCAATATATGCACTGTGTTGTATGTCAGTTATGCCTCGATAAATCTGTTTTTAAAACAACAGGAAAATGTATTCTGTTTTCTTTTTTGTTTTTTTGTTTTTTTTTTTGAGATGGAGTTTCACTCTTACTGCCCAGGCTGGAGTGCAATGGTGCAATCTTGGCTCATAACAACCTCCGCCTCCTGGGTTCAAGCGACTCTCCTGCCTCAGCCTCCAGAGTAGCTGGGATTACAGGTGTCCGCCACCACACCCGGCTAATTTTTATATTTTTAGTAGAGATGCGGTTTTGCCATATTGGCCAGGCTGGTCTCAAACTCCTGACCTCAGGTGATCTGCCCATCTCAAAGTTCTGGGATTACAGGCATGAGCTACTGTGCCCAGCTGATACATCCTGTTTTCTAAGAATTCCAGAGGTGTTATATACTTTCTGAAAATGTCTTTCCTGAGAATAGTGACCACCTTGCTTAAGAAGTTCTTACCTATGTTCCACCCAAACCTCTTTTACTACTGTAAACATTTTGTTTATTTTTCTTTAAAAAATAGTAACAGCTCACCTTGCTTTATTCTGAACGTAGAATCACTTTTGGTGGTGTAATCTTCTATGTTTTGGAATCCATACAGGTGGATCCTGAAGTTCTTAGATGGAGAGTAAATATAAGGAGATACTCCTGCTAACGGGCCTGGAGAACATCACCGATGAAGAACTGGATAGGTTTAAGTTCTTTCTTCCAGATGAGTTTAATATTGCTACAGGCAAACTACATACTGCAAATAGACCACAACTAGCTAACTTGATGATTCAAAATGCTGGTGTGGTGTCTGCAGTGACGAAGACCATTCATATTTTTCAGAAGTTGAATTACATGCTTTTGGCAAAACGTCTTCAAGAAGAGAAGGAGAAAGGTAAAGTGGGACTCCTGCGCTGCCCAGTCCCTTTCTTTGCCAAGCCTGGGTGTTTCCTTTTACGGCATCCCTGGGACATGGCCCCCAGTGCATGTTTGTTGGAATTTGTTTGCTAACGTAGTGCATTTGTCTCTTTGCCTCCTTTTACTGAGGATCACTTCTAGGAAGCGTTTGTTACAAATTCCACAAATCCATTCCATCTTCTGTTGGCATCTCTTGTTCCAGCCCTTAGGGTTACCATTTCCATTTATCATCTTTTCTCTTTGCCTATCTTTGTCTCTAGTTCAATTGTAGTGAACTTGGATGTAGGATTTCAAAGTTAACATCCCCCAGCTCCATTTACACAGTATATAATGCGCTCACATTTTACTGAAGTCTTGAAAATATAAATAAATTATTATATTGGAAAAGTGTAAACCAGGATACTGAGCACCTTTTCTCCTTCACATAGTCTGTCTATTCCTCTCCTGTCCCCAGCTTTCTGAGGTCCCAGACTATCCTTCTTCAGGGGACAATCTCCTCCTTCTATTAGGGGATTCTCTCTCCTCTCTATCTCCAGTACAGGTGGCACTATAAATTACCCACAACACAAAGGTTTTTTACATTATTCAATAAATCACTCATTGTCTCCATCTACATTTAGTTTAAATCTCATTTAAATTTCTGATTTTGTTTCATAAGAAAATTGATACGTACCGGCTTTATGTCTGAAGAACAAAAGAGAGCTAACCAAAGAGCATATCATCCAAGGACTCTCCCCAATGAGAGTCTCCAAATGCCACAGTTTTAGGATTCAAAGTACAACTGTAGGCCGGGCACGGTGGCTCACGCCTGTAATCCCAGCACTTTGGGAGGCCGAGGCGGGTGGATCACAAGGTCAAGAGGTCGAGACCATCCTGGCCAACATGGTGAAACCTCGTCTCTACTAAAAATACAGAAATTAGCTGGGCATGGCGGCGTAGTCCCAGTTGCTCGGGAGGCTGAGGCAGGAGAATTGCTTGAACCCAGGAGGTGGAGGTTGTGGTGAGCCGAGATCGCGCCACTGCACTCCAGCCTGGGTAACAAGAACGAAACTCTGTCTCAAAAAAAAAGTACAACTGTAACAGCAAAAATTACAACAGCTTTAATAGCATTTGTGAGTGTATAACACGGATGACATCACTTCTCAAACATGACTTATAGGAAGGCTAAATGAAGCCATGTAAGTGATACTATGTACGTTCATAATTCTATACAGATATAAACTGTTAGGTAGTATCTAAGGCACGGAAGAGAAAGTGTTACACATTGTATTTTCCCAGGCTATAGGGAGTTAGAAGGTGTAGTTCTTAGAGATGGCCCCTAGATGGCAGTAACTACACGTGGTACTTTGAAGTAACCAACTGCTCTTTTTCTTGTCTGGGATGAGACACGAATCTAGGCATATTGGCAAACATAGGCTGAGAAATTTAGAAATATCTTTTATTTTGGCATTAAATCAAGAATTAATTCTTCTCTTTGACCAGGATAGCACAAAGTTTCACCTTCTAAAATCTTCCTCCCATTTTGCTGTTCTAATGATTCTGGGATTTTGTTATTCTGATTAGATAAAAAAAGATCCAATTGGGACTAGCTTGGAAACTCAGGAGTAGATCATCCAAGGACTCTCCCAAATGAGAGTCTTCACATGTAACAGTTGCAGGATTCAAAGCATGCTTTTTGGACAGGCACAAGTGGCTCACACCTGTAATCCCAGCAGTTTGGGAGGCTGAGGTGGGCAGATCACTTGAGGTCAGGAGTTCAAAACCAGCCTGGCCAACATGGTGAAACTTCATCTCTAATAAAAATACAAAATGTAGCCAGGAGTGGTGGCAGGCGTTTGTAATCCCAGCTACTCGGGAGGCTGAGGCAGGAGAATCACTTGAACCTGGGACGCAGAGGTTGCAGTGAACTGAGATCATGCCTCTGCACTCCTGCCTGGGCAACAGCAGTGACATCCTGTCTCAAACAAGCACAAAACACAAAGTATGCTTCTTGTATGCTTTACAAGAAGGCAATTAAGTTCCGTCATAGCTAAAATTCCATCCACAGACATTCTTAGGCCTCCTTTGAATGTAGGAAATTTTTGTGTGTCTATGCTACTTCTATTATTACAGGAAAACAATTTGTTTTGTTTGTTGAACAGTTAATCTTTTCTTCTTGGTTAAGTGATCCCTCTCCATAGCCATCGCATGTCTGCACGTAGAGTGCTATATGCTATTCTACTCACGACCTCACCTCATAGAAGGTAGAAGTTACCTGGAGAATCTTTAATGAAGACAGAGGCAATAATCAGTAGACAAGAGAAGCTTTTGTAGGAAGCAAAATGAGAAAATATAAGGACATGTAAGCCTAGAGAAAGGAAGCTAAGAGAAAATATGATCAAAGTCTACAAAAGTCCTGTAAGATTAAAATAAAATGCTCAAAATGATAAATGAAATAATAAATAACAATGTGCACCCTCTATTAAGGCAAATGAGAGATTTATAGTGAGCAGACAAGCTTATTCACAAATATTGCTTTGGTACACTGTGTGTGAGATGAAATATGGCCGATGTGATGCGGCAGAATGGTAGGTGGATTCCCTTGACCTCACGTGACTCTTTTTTCTCTCGTATGCTGTCAACAAAGAAGGCAGACTTTATCTGCATACTTTTCTGAAACCAGTTTCATGGAACTTACCTACCATTGGAAGGTTAGTTTAACTTCTTTCTAGAGCAGAGATCCTGCTACAAAATCCCAGTCAGTCAACCACTTTCTGCTCTTTGAAAGGTACTGACAGAGTACCTACGACCTCATAAGACAGTTCATTCTACTCTTAGCTCTCATAATGAAATCGTTTCTCTTTTTACTACAAAGTGATTGCCTTGTTATTTCAGCCCAGAATTGCTCAAATTCTATCACAAATGACATCTGAGAATTTTTCCGTCCCTCTTCTGCCCGAGAGTGCCTTAAGTCACCAAACATGGCCATCTTATTACATGGTCTTTTTAAAAATCACGACTAGGAATTGGCTTTCAAAATAACATATAACCTGACCATAGACCTGGAGGAGCCCAGCCAGATTATACAACTGCATTTTGTAGGCATTAGTGAGGAACCAACATGCCACCCATCCACCCATTTCTTCATCCATTCAGTAAACATCTATTGAATTGCTAATAGGTGCAAGGAATACTTTTAGGTCCTTATGAGAAAACAAGGAGTTAAAAACAAATCCAGATTTTGTACAGCTTTTACTCTAAAGGGAAGGTAGACATTTTTCTTACAAGGCAAATGAATGCATGCAATGAACTGAGAAAAATGCCCTGATGGAAAGGAAGATGGTCCTTTAGCAGTAGGTGTCAAAGGAGCATTAACATAAGCCAGGAGTTAGAGTGGGTGTTGGTCAAAAGCAGGTTCCGCAGGGAAGTGACCCTTGAGCTAAGCTCTGAAAAATCCATAGCAGTTAAAGGTACCTTCAGTCAGAGGCAACACTGGGTGAAAATCCCCATAAGCGAGTGTTGACCTGCCTGAGGACTGAAAGAAGGCCAGTATGGCTGGAGTGCAGAGAATCTTCAGAGGGCAGGATGCGGTCCCCTTGACACAGCAGTGCAAAGCCTTGTAGAACATAATTAGAAATCTGCCTTTGTTTCATAGTGGCAGTTTATTCATTTTCGCTACTATATGAGATTTCATTTAATTTATAATTACATATACACATAAACTCAAATACATATATATAGAGAGAATTGGTCTATTTTTCATTGTTATTTTAGTCATTTGAGGCCATTATGAATAATGCTGCTATGAATATTTATGCATATTGTAAGCGTTATGTACTTATCTTTGTATGTATGTATTTTTGTGTGTGTTTCTCTTGACTGTACACCTGTGAATGGAATTACTGGATGTTAAGGTAAGTAGATATTGAATTTTTAATAGTGTCCCAAACCATCTTCCAATGTGTTATACAATTTAAGCCTACTACTTCGTAGTTTCTTTTGTTTCTTTATTTTTTTATTTTTATTTTTTTAGACAGACAGGGTCTCACTATGTCATCCAAGCTGGAGTGCAGTGGCGCGATCACAGCTCGCTGCAGCCTTGAACTCCTGGGCTCAAGTTATCCTCCTGCCTCAGCCTCCCAAGTAGCTGCGACTAAAGACATGTGCCATCGCACCTGGCTAATTTTGAAAACATTTTCTGTAAATATGGGGTCTCCCTATGTTGACCAAGCTGGTCTCAAACTCCTGGCCTCAAGCTATCCTCCAGCCTTGGCCTCCCAACGTGCTGAGATTACAGGTGTCTATGTCACATTGTTGCTTTATTTTTAAAATAAGATTTATTTATTTTAGAAAAGTTAGCTGTTCTTGAAGATATCTTAATATGGTTTTAATATTTATTTCTGGTGACATTTGAAAATGTGCACTGCTCATATGTGTATATGCTTATTGGCCATGTCTCTTGTTTTTTAATCAGTTGATAAGAAATACAAATCGGTAACAAAACCAAAGCCACTAAGTCAAGCTGAAATGAGTCCTGCTGCATCCACAGCCATCAGAAATGATGTCACAAAGCAACGTGCTGCACCAAAAGTCTCTGCTCATATTAAGGTAGGAGGAGGCGAGTGGAGTGGCCTTTGTCCTCGTAAGAGCGTCTCCAGTCACTGCCACTGCCATTTCCCACATGGTTCTCTGTTCTTTGTCTCACAGCATGCAAATAAGGGAAGCAAGGCCACAGTATGAAAAGTGATCCGAAGGCCGGGCACGGTGGCTCAAGCCTGTAATCCCAGCACTTTGGGAGGCCGAGGCGGGTGGATCACGAGGTCAAGAGATCAAGACCATCCTGGTCAACATGGTGAAACCCCGTCTCTACTAAAAATACAAAAAATTAGCTGGGCATGGTGGTGCGTGCCTGTAATCCCAGCTACTCAGGAGGCTGAGGCAGGAGAATTGTCTGAACCCAGGAGGCGGAGGTTGCAGTGAGCCGAGATCGCGCCATTGCACTCCAGCCTGGGTAACATGAGTGAAACTCCGTCTCGGGAAAAAAAAAAAAGAAAAAGAAAAGTGATCCGAGTCACAAAAAGAACTACCTCTGATTTATCAGATTAAACACCTGTTGAGCTTCTAATCTCTGCCAGGCCCTGGACACATTAACACTCAGTTATGGTTTGGATTCTATAAGAAGAAAACTCTGAGACAGATAGTTGTTTACAGGAAGTCTATTCTAGGTCACTTCCAGAATTAATATCTGTGAGGAAGTGAAAGGAGTAGAAGAGGAAGAATGTCGAGAACAATCTATTTGCAGTAGAGGCCTTGGCCTATCTGACCCGGAGCTCGGGAGCTGAGGATGCCTTTCATGGCTCCCGTGATTTGGGGGAGTCTGTGGTTTGCACAGGCCCAGGTTCCGGGTCACATCAGAGATCCAATTCAGAGACTCTTACACTCTGCCTGCCATGCCTCTGTTTGTTTCCCCTGTATTTCCCCTTGGTTTTTGACAACAAATTGCTTTTTAAAAGTAATGTAAAAAAGTCCTCAATACAGCTGCATGGACAAGGTGAGGCGGCCCCATTTAGGTGACAGAGTAGTGCCTAGAGAGTCTTGTTCTTGGTGAGAATGAGAGAGCAGCAGGCAACATCCGAATCTCAGCACAGAATCAACCACACATGCAATTTCATTTCCTATGAAGCAGGTATTGCTTCATTTTACAGCTGTATGAGCTACAGAAACTATGTACTTCATCTCTTTGTCTAGAGTAGCCATTTCCTCTGCGTCTGGCCCAGAAACATCTCGATTTTTCAGGAAAACAAGTATAAATGCTGTGATTCCGTCATCAGTAATGGAAATACGCATTATTTAGTCTGCAAGACCCAGCTAAAGATACATGAACCAAACAGAAGGACTTTTGTAGTGGACCTCAGTGAAGCTCACCATTCCCTGCCTTACTCACCCTAGCTCCACTGGCCCAAGCTTCAGGTCACCTCAGAGACACCCTTCAGAAACTCCTACACTTGGCTTTTTAGGCCTCTGTTTGTTTTCCCCTACATTTCCCTCTGGTTCTAGATGGCAAGTTGCTTTTAAAAAGTAGGATTTTCCCCCAAAACAAGGTATCTTATCTCTGTTAATTCAGAAAAATAAAACAAAACACAGAGAAGAAAATAAAATTACCTGTAATTGTATCATCTAGGAAAAAACTATATTGATGTTGGTAAATATCTCTCCAGTGTGTTTATTTATGTGCTTTAACTGCTTACTTTTCCTTTATCTTTTTAGGGCCTTTTCCTTTATTGAATCAGTTATAAGTTTATCATATTATTTCTCTAAAGCATTTTTAATTTTTGCATAGCAATCTATATGTGACTATACCATATCTTATTTAACCAAATCTATTTTTTAGGTATTTAAATTGTTTTTTTTTTATAATTTCAAATAATAAGATGTATTTTTTAAATGTAAACCTTAGTTTATAATTCATTATTTCTAAGGGTAAATCCATACATGTGGTATCGATTCTCCTTTTAAATTTCTCCTTTAACTCACTGGTAAGACCTCTGGCCTAGGTCTCCCTCCCTTAACTTATATTAAATATAATCTGCATTTTGTTACGTACAGTGCCTCCCTAGGAATTTGGGGAGTCCTGTGCAGGTCACTGAGCTCCCTCACTTTTATACCAGAATAAAATGAACGTTTTGAACAGAGAAACAAGGACGCATTATGCCCTAATGGAATTGATAGAAGATGGATTCCGATTATCAGATTTACCCCATGCCTTAGCAATATTTCAGAGATCTGATGAGCTCTTTATATACAGCAATTGGCAAAGCAAGAATTTGTTTCAGGGAATCCTACCTCCAAAACCTGTTACACCGTCTTAGCTGAACACAGGAGCTGAAATCTTCCGTCCGCACTCTCCGTTTTATCCAGGTCGTTCTAGGCCTCGGATCTCTTCCTGACCCCTCTTATAACGCTTCCCTTGATTCCACCTATCTTCAGCTGGCTTCCTGAGGTTTAGCACTGTGAGTGAAGCAAGGTCCTCTCAATAGTACCTTTTAGACTCACAGCTGATACCTTTCTTCTCTTGTCTTCAGCCTGAGCAGAAACAGATGGTGATCCAGCAGGAATCTATCAGAGAAGGGTTTCAGAAAGACCGTTTGCCAGTTATGGTACTGAAAGCAACGAAGCCCTTCACGTTTGAGACCCAAGAAGGCAAGCAAGAGATGTTTCATGCTACAGTGGCTACAGAGAAGGAATTCTTCTTTGTAAAAGTTTTTAATACACTGCTAAAAGATAAATTCATTCCAAAGAGAATAATTATAATATCGAGATATTATCGGCACAGTGGTTTCTTAGAAGTAACTAGTGCCTCACGTGTGTTAGATGCTGAATCTGACCAAAAGGTTAATGTCCCACCAAACATTATCAGAAAAGCTGGGGAAACTCCAAAGATCAGCACGCTTCAAACTCAGCCCCTTGGAACAATTGTGAATGGGTTGTTTGTAGTCCAGAAGGTATGTTTTCATATCTAATTTCATGTTGATTAGTAATAATATTTTTCATCTGATCTTACGGCGACTTTAGAAATGGTTTTAATATCTTTCTATATAGACAAAAAAATACAAAGTTCTAAAGAGCTGCAGAGTTAACATGCCAAAATTCATACAAAAACTCAAAAATTGTTTTTATTGTCAAAAATCTGTTTCAACTTATTCTTATCCCAGTAGCCTCTGAAAAAAGGAACTAGTTCATTCACATAATTTTTATCTCAGTGTTATTTATTTATTTATTTTTTTTAAAGAGACAGGGTTTCACCATGTTGGTCAGGCCGGTCTTGAACTCCTGACCTCAGGTGATCTCCCCACCTCAGCCTCCCAATGTGTGTTATTTTCATACTTTGTACATATCATCTTTAAGTGACTGTTATGAATGCGATATAAGTGTAGTTGAGTAACAAACCAGATTAATCGACCTGAAAAACCAATATGTAAGGCAGGATTAAAGAACTGTGATTAAATGAAGAAAACAGAAGAAAGAGTTAGCTTGAGAAGACTTATTAGAAGTGAGAAATTTAAAGTATCATGACTCTGAGCCTCAGGGAAATAGCCTTGTGGGATGACTTTTTCTGATCTAGGACAGAACCTAAAGAACCACAGAGAGGGAACCTGCTGACCCTACATTCAGAGCCTCAGAGCAACCTCTGCTGCCCTGGATTAGTTTCAGAAGGAATTTATAGGAAGACTCTCCAGTCCTCTTGGAAAATACAAGTGTAAAATGACCTTGGATAGCAAGGTCATGTTCTTTATCCCAGTTTTCAGCTTTCAATCTGGCCAGCTATCCACTAATATATATTGATTTCATCCATAAAATTAAACCTAAAATACTATCAATCTCCTAAATAACTAACATTCTGTTCCCTTTTGCTCTTAGACTTGATTGTGAATTACTTCTTGTCTTCGATTACCTACTAGACTCCCGACTGGGTCTTGCATCATTACCTCATGTCTTTCCTGGACTTGTTGTTTTAAATTGCTCTCTTCAGGGCAGCTCATCCCTGTAATCCTAGCACTTTGGGAAGCTGAGGCAGGTGGATCATCTGAGGTTAGGAGCTCGAGATCGGCCTGGCCAATATAGTGAAACTCTGTCTCTAGTGAAAATAGAAAAATTAGCCAGGCACAGTGGCAGCTACTTGGGAGGCTGAGGCAGAAGAATCGCTTAAGCCCGGGGGATGAAGGTTGCAGTGCGCCAAGATCGCACCACTGCACTCCAACCTGGGTGAAAGAACACAATTCCATCTCAAAAAATAAAAAATAAATAAATAAACAGCTTTCTTCCAACCTTAAGGTCTTCTTTCTTTTCCCTGATTAACCTGGCTACTGGCCCTGGAGAATCTCCATCTTCTCTATCCAGCAGTTGTTGCTTCTATGCGCCATCCCAGGCTCTTCCTAAAGGAAGGGAGCTTGGGACCAGAAGGATGGACATAGGAGACATGTTCTAAGTAAGGCACATCTGCCTCCTCTATGTGAACCTGCTAACATCTATTAGATATATACTTGCTAGTTTCAAAGCAGAATCTTTTTCTTCAAGTTGACCCTTGAACAATGTAGGGATTAGGGCTGCTGACCCCTAGCAGCTGAAAATCTGCATATAGTTTTCGACTCCCCAAAAACTTAATTACTGATAGCCTATTCTTGACCAGAAGCCTTACAGATAACATAAACAGTCAACACATATTTTTTGTTACATATAGTATGTACTATATTCTTAACAAGCTAGAGAAAAAAATGTTATTAAGAAAAGTATAAAAAAGAGAAAATATATTGACTATTCATTAAGTAGAATATCATAAAGGTCTTCATCCTCATTGACTTTATGTTAAGTAGGCTGAGGAGGAAGGAGGAAGAGGAGGGGTTGGTCTTGCTGTCTTGGGTGGCAGAGACAGAAGAAAATTTCCATATAAATGGATCTATGCAGCTAAAACCTGTGTTGTTCAAGGATCAACTGTATTTCTTTTTGGATCCTTCTTCTGGCATGTCTGATGTGTGACTGATGTGGCATTCTTTAATCAGATTATCAGAGGTTGGGTGTTGTTTTTCTTCTGCAGGTAACAGAAAAGAAGAAAGGTATATTAAACCTAAGGGACAACACTGGGAATATGGAAGTATTGGTGGCTGGAAACCAGGACACAATAAAATGTGAGGAAGGAGATAAGCTTCGACTTACGTTCTTCACGCTGTCAAAAAATGGAGAAAAACTACAGCTGACATCTGGAGTCCATAGCACCATAAAGGTGGGAACTGCATGGAGCAAAGTCAACTCTCCAAGGGGATGATATTTTATGTTTTCTATCAGAAAGCTGGACTGGAGCCACTGGAATAGAAGACATTGATATTTACTACACGAGCATCTCACAGAACTGAGGAACCTCCCTCTTAGGGGACACGTATTCTAGATACACAGTTAAGAGAACATGGGCTTTTCGAGACAGAGACACATACTGTTGTGCACACAGAGCCCAACAAAAGAGCTCCTCAGTAACACTAAAAGTTTAAAGCAGAGAGCTTGCCTAGAGTTGGAAAAGTCATTCTGACTTTTTCAAATGTCTTTTAAAGTAGACAGACCAGAAATACCTTAAGAATGCATTTCCCTAGCCAGTCCCACCATGCCTGCACCTACCATAGTCCAGGGCAGTTGAGTCCACGTGAACCCCGACCTCTGACCTTCCACCACACCCTCCTACTCATCTCCTGCCACTACTTGGTGCTCTTCCCCAGGTCTGTGTCAGGTGCACTGCCTGCTGTCTCTCCCTGTAAGAGTGGAGGCTGAGAGTGTATTTCTCAGGTCAGATATTCACTTCAGGAATATGATCCAAGATGGATCAATGTATTAGAAGGGTGGGAACAAAATAATTTCATGAGAAGATGGTGTACACTTCAGAAGGCCCTAGTGACTACAAACAGAGGAGGGGTAACTGGTCGATTGCATCTCAGATTGCATGTTTTTTTCTCCATCAGGTTATTAAGAACCAAAAAAAAAAATAGAGAAAGGAAAAGGACCAATTCAAACCAACCGGGAAGAATACGTGATACAGCCTGTTCCATCAGATTGCAAGATTGCGGCAGTTCACAGGCTCCTCTCCACCAAGTTAGGATAGGATAATTGCTGGATAAACAAATTTAAAATATCAACAGATGATTACAATAAACATCTGTTTCTCATTCATTACAGTCTCACTGTCTTGTTTCGTTTGTCAATCCCTTGTTTCAAGCAAAAATACTTTATCAATGTATTATATGTAAATACAAATTAAAAGGAAATTATATGACAATAATTGTACAAAATACAAGAGGGAAGAATTAGGAGTATACTGTTGGAAGATCCTTGTACAACATGTGAGGCAATGCAGTATTATTTAAAAGTAGATACTACATAACTAAAGATGTATATTTGTCCCATAGGGCAGCGATTTGGAAATATTTTAAAAGGTATATAAGACAATTTTGTGTTATTGGAGAAAGACGTAAAGCCCAATGGAAAACTAGAGAGTCAAAACTAGGCTTGCACATTTACAGTCTGTTCATTTTCTATAAAAGTACAAACACAGTTGAATGGAGAAAAGACTCAAAAAAGTGCAAGAACAATTAGATATTTATGCTTAAAAAAATGAATCTGAGCCATTCCTCACTCTTTATACAAAAATAAACTCCAAATGGATCACTGGCTTTCATAAACACTTAAAACCACAAAGCTTCTAGTGGAAAACAGGGGAGAAAAATCCGTGTGACCTTGGTTTAAGCAAATATTTTTTAGATACCATGCCGAAAGCACAATCTACACAACATAAATGCTTAATAATTTGAACTTCATCAAAATGAAGAACTTCTGTTTTTCAAAAGGTACCATTAAGAGCATTGAAAGGCAAACCACAGACTGGGGCTTAATATTTATTAGTCACATAGCTGCTGAAGAAACTGCATCCAGGCCGGGCACAGTGGCTTACACCCGTAATCCCAGCAGGGAGGGATTGGGAGGCCGAGGTGGGTGGGTCACTTGAGGTCAGAAGTTCAAGACCACCCTGGCCAACATGGTGAAACTTCATCTCTACTAACAGTACAAAAATTAGTTCGGTGTGGTGGCAGGTGCCTGTAATCCCAGTGACTTGGGAGGCTGAGGCAGGATAATCACTTGAACCTGGGAGGCAAAGGTTGCATGCAGTGAGCTGAGATCGCATCATTGCACCCCAGCCTGGGTGACAGAGTAAGCCTCTGTCAAAAAAAAAAANAAAAAAAAAAAAAAAAAAAAAAAAGACCCCGTATCCAGAATTTATAAAGAGCACTCAAAATCCAATAATTAGAAAACAACCAACGAAATGTTTAAAATTGACAAAAAGATGATACATGGATGTCAAATAAGCACATAAAAATACACTCAACATAATTCATCTTTAAGGAAATGCAAACCAAAGCTACAGTGAGGTACCACTATACATTTATTAGAACAGCTAAAATTAAGATACATTGGCCAAATCAAGTGCTGACAAAGATTTGGAAAAATTGAAACTGTCATGCATTGCTGGTGGGAATGTCAAATGATATAACTTTTATGCAAAAGAGTTTGTCCATTTTTAAAAATATATATCTACAATGCTATGGCCTGAGGAGGATACAGAACAACTGAAACCCTTACTTATTGCTGGTGGGAATGAAAAGCCTTAAAGTCACTTTAGAAAAGAGTTTGGCAATTTCTTATAAATTTAAACATATGCTTACTACATGATACAGCAAACTTGCTCTAAGTATTTTTATCCACTTGAAATAATTATGTATGTTCACACAAAAATCTGCACGTAAATATTCATGAAAGCTTATTTGTAATTATGCAAAACTGTAAAAAATTATCTCTTACCTGAAAAATGAATAGACAAACTTTGGTAGATCCACATAATCGAATTGTACTTAGCAATAAAAAGGAATAAATTACTGATACACACATCTACGTGGATAGATCTTTATTGTACACTCAGTGAAAGAAGCCAGACTCAAAATTCTACACAGGGACTCAGGGATGTGAAGCTAGAAGAGGGAAAGAGGACACTCTTCCTTCTCTCCCTCATATACCCCAGGTATCTGCTAGGAAGAGAACCAGGGATGCCTGCTCCCCTCCTTCTAGATGAGTAGCCATTCATTTTCAGTCTGTATCCCTTTCAAATGCATCCTGAACCCGTGGGACTCCTTTGATAAAACATCATTCATTTTTCCTTTCTCCCTGTCAGTTCTCTCTTCACCGATAGGCACTTGTGTCTCCATACTATGGGGACACTCCCTTCAGATGCATCCTTCAAACTGGAAAGAGTTAATTTCCCAAACTTTAAACTGGTCAGTTTAGGATTGGGTTCAGGAGAAGGGAACCCAGAAGCCCCACATGCAGGCAAAGGGTAAAGTTTTTTGTTTTTGTTTTTTACCAGTTAGGCTTTTGGCCTCCCTCTCTTTGTACGAACTGATCAAAGGCCTTGGGATTTTTGAACTATTCTTACCCCTCCCCTTGTTTCGTTTTGATACATGTTTTCTAATAACACCATTGGTCTCTTCTTGCCTTCAGGCCATCAAACTCCAAACAGTCACGCAACTGGAGAGGCAGGCAATGGCCCCCTCTGCCGGGAACCCTTAAATAGGCCTCTGAGAGACTTTGATTGCTGTTTTCCCCAACACAGCGCCCCCTGTCAGCAGAAAGCAGTTAAGATCGGTCTTCGTCCTTATCCTTGTCCTTACTCTAAGGGCAGTTAGCCGCACACTTCTTTAGAGGAGGCAATGAGACCGCCAGGTGGGAAGGGGTCGCCAGAGAAACTCCAGCCTGCACACCAGGAGGAGCGTGCACGGGGTCGGAGCCACAGAAGTTCGTACCATCTGCAGTGGGGAAGAGTCTGGCCCCTCCTCTTCCTGGGTGGAACCCGAAATTAATACTGCAAGGCCGGAAGCACACCAGCAGGGAGTGTGGCTTTGCAGAGTTTCGTTTTTACCCAATTTCCTGTTTCCCTCTTTTGCTTTTCACCCAATAAACTCTGCCCTTCTCACTCTTCAGATTGTCTGCGAGCCTAATTTTTCATGGCCGTGTGATAAGGACCCCCATGTTTAGCTGAACTAAAGAAAAAACCCTGCGACAGTGGTAGACGTCCCCATTCCATCCCTCACAGCTTCCACCACAGCCCCACACACATCTCCTAACACGCACACCCCAAACGAGAACAGCAGCCTGGGTTCTAAAACAAGCTCTCTACTAAGTGTCATTACGAAAGTGACTTTGCCTTTCTATTCTTTGTCACATATTATAGGGTGAGTAAAAGGGAAAAAATGATCAAACTTCTAGAGCTAATATGAAGATTAAGTGCCACAAAATAATTGCAAAGTATCAGGTACCAAATATATAATCAATAAATTTGGCTAAATTTTAGTTTTAGATGCCTACTTTCTGCTATTCTGTTCTAAAGAAAATTAATTATCTTCACTGTTTGCCTACTGGGGCAGCTTTCTAATGGGTCAGATTACTATAGTGCATTGTGAGAACAGGAAATATGGTTAGAACACGCCTGAAGAGCCGTTGGTGTTTGAGGAAGTGAATAAAACCAGATATTTCACATCAGGCAGGCCCAGATATTTCTCTAACATAGACAAGTGCCTTCATGCACAGCACCAGAAGGCACCTCATTTGGCAGAAAAATTACCCAATTATGCCCCGTCCAGGAAACCAATTCTGAAAAGATATCTACTGCTCTGGGCTAAAACAATAACACAATGCTTAGCAACCGAACCGCAGGCTGGATTTCACCCTTACCTATCCCTTCAGCCTGGCTCCTCTCAGCAGAACATAGCCTGTTCATTCTTGACTAGGGCCTTATCCTGTAAAGATCACACCCAAAGTACAAATCCAAATATTGCTTGAGGCCCGTGTGCCGCACCCTGATTTGCAGACCACAAACTATTTGCTTTTAAGCAGCTCATGGATGGATTAAAGAGACTGCCGGGGAAGAATTTCTTTCACAAAGAAAGATAACGTTTATTTGTTTTTTTCAAATTATAAAAGTTGTAGATGCAAAATATGGCCTTTTATACAAAACCCTAAAGAATTAAAAAAAGCACTCCCAATACCCCATTTCTAAGAATTAATAGCTGGTATATATAATAGCGACATATATCTAGTGTTGTAGTTCAACCAGGTATATGTACATTTTTTAGGCACTTAGATCTTATCTCCATAAGCAGTATTATCAATGGATTTTAGAAGAAGGAGTTTGATGAAGTTTTCATATATGAATCAGGACTGAGTTCGTCTTTCTTGTTTTCCCTCTTCATGACCTTGAAGGAAAAAGAGATAAAGACAGACCAGTTGAGATGCTGGTGATCCTACATATTTTCCTTCAATCACAGTGTCTCCTCCCCACGCACCGTATCTCTTTCCCTCTTCCTTTCAAAATAATTCTTTTCTCACTCTCATCTATCTCCTTTAATAAATTCTTGACCTTTGAGTCATGCCTCTGTCTTTAATTGGGATTGTGAAATGAGATATTCGCTCCTACCTAGCATGAGTACAAGTGAAAGAGCAGATGTCAGGGAACAGCAGGAGAGAGAAAGGAGCTGGTGCACCCAATCCCAAGAGTTGAGGGTAGGCTGCTGATCTGGAAGAGGAAGGTTGGAGGCAAGAAGGGATCAAGGGAGTCCTAGAGAGCGGAACATGGAGGAGGACAGCTGCCTCCATGGACCAGCAGTGCTCAATATGACCTGACCTGGAAGATGATATCTGCCACCTGTGAGTGATGGCTTTAACTGTGATGAACTCATCAACGTGGCCAATTTTCTACAGCATTAGGAAACCATTCCCAATGAAGTTAATCAGTATCAAATCACCTCACAGTAGCCATGAGATCAATGCCCTGACACAAGGTGCACAAGACCTAGGGAAAAAATTATAAAGCCACTCTGAGGGCAATGAAAAAAAGACCTAAGAGACATGTGCTCTTATTATGTCCATTAAATACACAGAATACTGAAAACCACCTTAAGCCAAATAATATAGGACCATTTTTATAATGTATGGAATAACCGTGCAGTTTTTCTGGTACAATAGAATAAATCTATATTGTACGATTGAATAGAAGTTCAAGATATATTAACAAAAAACCAGAGTTATAGAAAAATATGTGTAATGTAATTTACTCTGAGAGAAGAAAGTACTCTTTGTATATACATAATGAAAGATGTAAAATCAGAAAGACTATGTACTGAAATGTGGCATAGAAGTTTCTGATAGCTAAAAGTTAATTATTTTTGCTTACGTAGCTTCTTTTCATAAAATTTTAAAGATGATATTATTTGAGTTATAATAAATGAAAGAAAGAATCAGTGATAGTGTTAAGGTTGGCTCTGTTTTTTTCCCCACCTTATTCTATTTTAAGACATTATTTTCATGGTGTACTGAGAGAAAAGTAAAAATGTAAGCCAAAAGAAAAATAAAATTAAACAAACATCTAATTATACCTGCTATGGAATAGAGAAGATAATAAGAGAACTTTAATTTTAGATAGAACCTCAAAAAACATACTTGATAAATAAATGACTAATTTGGTTAAATAAAGTGTTGTATATAGTAGGAGAATGTGAGAAGTGCTTTCAAGGTTCTGTTAATCTTCTTCATTATATTGTAGCGGGGGTGGGGGTGGGGGGGGAGTATTGGGAAGAGGAAGTGGTACCGTGGTAAAGAAACTGCTGCTTGGTGTTGATGCAGACATCTGAGGAGTCTGGAAATGGCTCCCAGCTGGGCTTATGCTGGTCATGGACGGTCCTGGAAACTGCCACGTTTCCTTACGCACCCTCCAGGGGTCATTTATTTTGAATGGGTCTTCACTTTCCTAAAAAAAAAAAAAAAAAAGATGTTTGTTCTTTTTTTCTAGTTAATGTTCTTCAAGGTCAGATGAAACACATCTTTTCATTTTTAAACAGGATCTTTACCCTGTCAGTTTTTCTTTTCTTTTTTTTTTTTTTTTTTCTGAATTGCAGAAGGAATAATAGCACATATTCAGATACCTGTATTACTCAGCCTTCTCTGATCCCAATCACGATTAAAAACTCAGATAATTGAAATTGCATTGTTTTGGGATGAAATACTCAGTCTTCACGTCCTATAAAACTGGACTAAGTCCCTTGGTCAGGTATAACTCTTAGGGTTATTTTTGGGGCTGAATGGCTTACAACAAAGTTGGCTACATTTATGGACATTTATTTACTAAGCCTTACTCGTCAATTAGATACACAAACCAGTCTCTCTTAAGTGCCCTTCATCGTATAGGAAACCCAGATCTCTATTCTTTATGAAGCTCTGATCATAGCCGTAAACAGGAAGGTTCTCTCAAATTCACAATTCCTCAGGCAAGATTCGATGATCTCTACAGTTTGGATCAGGCAATCAACATCTTTCAGGGTTTTTAGCTGTACTCAGAACAATTTAATATTTTACCTAAAGCATTCCCGTTAGCTACATTTTTACATATTTTTTCAAGTAAGACTGAAGAATATCTCTAAAATTACATACCTTGACTACCTTTAATTAAACTATTAGAAGTCCAATAAATATTCATTCTATTTTGCCAATTTGGCACAGTTTTCACCAGTTTTGCCATTTGGTAACCTCATTTTTTAAGTGGGAAGTATTCATAAAGAGACACAAAAGAAAAGCTTGCAATGACCTCTCATGGAGGACAGCTTCTTGATTAGAACAGTCTCTGATCACCACTGAGCCCCTGGACTATGCAAATAAATCCCAAACACAACACTGTACATTCAAAATTGTTTAAAAATAAATTGCAGACATTTTAACATTTGCACACCTACTGTGGATTTAGTCTATGCTCATTAAAGGTTCACATTTTAAATGTTCACATTTTAAGTTCAATAAGGCTGCGTTTGAATTCAGACGCTAAGACTATCTGTGTGATCCTGAAGAAGATTTCTTTGCACCTCAGTTTTCTCACATGTAACATGGGACTAGCCATGGCATTTTTATACGATGTTATAAAGAATAAATTAGGTAATGTACATAAAGAATGGGCTTGAGAGTCCGGAACTCAGTAAATCCTCAATAAATAAACCTTCATTGCTATTATTTTCCCACGATCTGTTAGGGGTTTGCATGTTTGCTCCGATGAACAGATATTTCATGCTTTGTGATGCCCCTGTTGATGGAGACCTGATATGGAGGCAAAATGAGAAGCATAATATAAGAGAAGCCCCTCTCTTCAGATCTGCCCTGTGCGGCAATGTCATTTTATTGACAAGATTGTCTTGAGATATCTTTTAAAAATAAATGAAATCTTAAACTGTCATCACAATAGCTGGGCTTGGATAATGAAATTATACTAATTATTTGAATAATACTTTAAAAGTGCATGCATTTTTTTTCCCTCAGAGTAAATCCTCCTCCATCCTACCCTGTTCATGAATTATGCCCTTCTGTGCTGTTTGCTTCAGGATATGTAACAGCGCAAATCAAAGGTAATTATCTGTTTCTGGCTCGGAAGTAAAAAGTCAAAAAGAACCCTATTACAGAAAAACTATTTGAGAGGAACTGTGATGCAGAACAGCAAGGATTTCCTGCTTACATAGAGAATCACAGACTAACTGGTCAGACACCATTTCTGCAGCCTCCTGTGAAGATGGTTGTATCCCAGAGAAGAAATGACTCTATGGTGTAATTAGGTGGATGAGTCTGCCTTGGATCCTGCACTCTCAGAGCAGCAGAATGATTCCTATGCATGTAGAAATGATTGTGCTGCATATTTAGGCAGGCAAGGTCTTAGACAGTGTCACTTCCAAGCCAGTATGTGTGAACACGGTAGTTGTCTTATGATGTCCATGTATGTCAGTGCAGTAACAGACAGCAGGCCTGAGGTTTTAATGACTACGGGCTCTACTTGTGGCCTTGATGGCAAATTCCAAGATGGCAACAGTTACAAGCAGCTAGCTTTGCCCACCAATAACCAGGAGAGACTATATAGGGGGAAATATGGATTCTTGGAATTAACTGAAAAAATAAGACTGTCTAAAAAATTGAGAAAACCTGCATGTAGAAAGCCTGTCCTCAACTTACATATGTGGAATGATGCTCAGGTCTGCAACTTGGGCCGGGGGCAGCTTGGGGTTTGGGTGAGAGACGACACTGGAGAACAGTAATGTAAATCTTAGTGTTTCGTACCCCTCAAGTTGCTGTGGGTCAGTATTTCCCTGCCCATTCGCCTTAGGTATAGGCCTCCTAGCCCTGGATTGCAGGTAATACAGGGGTGATATCAGAGCAGAACAAAAGGCAAGCTGGGGTAAGAGTTGACACATACAAGTGTAAACTCACTTTCCTGCCCCTCTGTTGCCTTCCCTTAGGAAAGGGTACCTATAACCTAACTTGATTGCCGAGTAGGGAAGAAAGACATAGATTTATTATAGCTATAGTAAATGCTATAAAGAAATAGAAAGGTACCTATGAAGACAAACAACGGGAAAATATGATCTATTCTGAGAGGAAGGTATTAGTGAGAATTTGCTGAAAAAGTAGGTTAGATTGGCACCTCGTGGTTGAAGATATTTGGGAACAGAACTGATGGAAAAATTTGATATCAAAGGAAGTATCAAAACCCTTGATGTGGTTAAGAGCATGGATACTGAAACTAAACTCTGATGTATGGCAAGACAGCCAAAGAGACAGGATTGGAAAGAAAACACATTTGTATACTAGTACTGGGGGAGTTATTATTCAGGAAAGAACAGCAGTTAATCCTACTCATATTTCAAATCATTCTGTGTTGTTTATTTTAAGGGAGATATGGCAGAAGATATCAAATATAAAAATGTAAGGCTTCTCATTTTTAAATCAAAACCAGGAATAACCCGTATCACCCACAAGATTTGTGAGAGAACCTATCATGAGTACAAATAAAGCTTTCCTGCAGAGCTACTGGATTCTATAGAAAGCACCATAGTATGCTTTCAGATATAGTATGCACCTAAATTAAAAAAAAAAAAAAAGAAAAAGTAAGTAGACAGGTTTTGCCTCCTATGGGGCTAGCTGGACACCAGAGGGAAAACAGACAAACTGATTGTGGAAAACATATGACCCTGGCTGGGATTCCTAAGCTAAAGGAGGTTTAGGTGCAGCAGAATAACTTCTATGGCTACAGAAATGGACATGTTGCTTATTTAGAAGGGTTGGACCTAAGGAAACATCACATGTCCCTTTTAAGCCAGGATGTATAAGAAATTGGAATTTTCCAGGGATATTCACTTACGTCTTTGAAGTAGAAGGCAAAAAAAATGGGTCTGAGCTATTAATGAGTAGGTATGGACTCCCTATATGATATTTTCAAAATCCCCCTTCTTACAGACTCTTCCTTCTGCTAATGTCTCTGGATACCGACATAACTTTAGTTTCCTTGGCCCACATTTCAGCATACACAGGACCAGTACTATAGTCTTTGGTCTGAAATGGTCAAGACTCAGATGACTGACATTTCTTTCACTGCTCTTAGATTCTGGGATCTTTCTGTGTTGTATGCTGATGTGAGACCACTTAGTTAAGCATACCTTTTAGTGTCATTTTTTGGTAGATAACACTCCCTGATGATAACGGGAGCATGTCTCAGAGTAAAATCAGCCAAACTGAGGAGTATTTACAAGCAATCCTGCCTCATCAAATGAGTACACATACAGGTAACAGTTATCTGCTCTTCAGGCTCTAGAACACCAACCTTTCCATCTTTTTGTTCGGCAAACTGATCTTTGCTGCAAGGATTCTCTCGAAGCTACAGTTCCAGAGGCAGGATTATGCAGCCCCTTGCTGTCTATATGAGGCAACCTGAATTCATCAGGATTCTCAATAGTCATCACAGAGGTTCCAGGTTCCAGCTGGGGAATTCCCAGTAGCTGGCTTCTTATATTTTGTGCAAACAAGGGCAGAGAGCATCTGCAAAATCATATACTTTGACTATCATTAATTGTAACAGTGAAAACTCATTTCTAACCATTTACATGTGATTTCAATTTGTCATTTTCACACTTGTGATTTTCACTAATATAATTCTCTTGCAACATTTGCTGAAAAAGTGGTAGGTGAGAGGGCTGCAGGAGGCTGCTGCAGCGCTGTGGCTCTCAACGCAAACAGACTCTGACCACTCTGGTGTATCTCCTCCGTCATTGAAAGGCTGCTGCCAGGCACGGTGGCTCACACCTGTAATCCCAGCACTTTGGGAGACCGAGGCGGGTGGATCATGAGGTCAAGAGATTGAGACAATCCTGGTCAACATGGTGAAACCCCCGTCTCTACTAAAAACACACACACAAAAAATTAACTGGGCATGGTGGTACGTGCCTGTAATCCCAGCTACTCAGGAGGCTGAGGCAGGAGAATTGCCTGAACCCAGGAGGCGGAGGTTGCGGTGAGCCGAGATCGCGCCATTGCACTCCANAAAAAAAAAAAAAAAAGAAAAAGAAAGAAAAAGAAAGGCTGCAGAGTTCAGGCTATTACACAAACCCAATCCTGACACTGTCTATTCTGAAATGGTAGTGTACGCATACATAAAAATACACTAGAGACAATTTAAAATCTTCTCTCTCACACAACATTATTCCAAAACTATGAATGCTAGTGTTGTGATAGAGACTAAAAATAGCATATGTATGGGGTTGTAATGAAGAATGAGTCTCATAATATACCTAGCTAATAAGTTTAAAGCCTAGACCCCAGTAAAATGCCCAATAAGCAGAAATATAATTATTGCCATTGTTAATAATCGCCTGTCCAGGATTTGTATTTCTGCCTGATGCACGCATTTCCCATGCTTTATGTCGACTCTGTTGATGGATACGCCAG